AGAAGTTTGTTTAAAAGGGCCAATCTCATTTTCGTAATCTCTACGAAGGTCACCTGTTTCTAGAAGAGGATAGAGTCGTTCCTTATGCTACCCAATCATTTAACACTTGTTATGGGTCGAAGCCAACGCAGCTGTACGCAGTTCAACCGTCGTTGCTGCTTCTTCCCTGAAACAATTGTCTCCATCCCTTGCAACAACACTAACCTGACAAGGACAAGGCACAAGCGGATCTTTCTGGAAAGAGTTACTCTTTTCTCATCCCAAATATTCAACCCTGTCAAAAGCACTCGAGTTTAAGACGATCCTCTAATACAACTCTGGTTTTATCTGTGACATCGTTGAAGATGATGGAGTCGGCATACTTAAATTTGTCACCCGCTCGAAGTGCTCCACCTAAGCGACCGCTTCAGGGTTTATGGCAAGCTTTGAAGCTAAGTAGCGATTGTGAGATCGGAAGAGAATATCTTTCAAATATTTGGTCTCTGTACGTGAACCCACACTAATTAGTATTCATGGCCTATACGGAAGGTTGACATTTTACTCAGTGCATTCTAATCGACAACTAGGTTTCATACAACGAGTGCTATTGCTGAAAGTTGGTTAGAGTCTACTTGAGGCCATATCTCCGTGAGTTCAGAGTGCAGTTGTGGTAGCTTAAATTGATCCGATTATCGTACAGCAGGTAGGTCAGTTTGACTATAATTTCTGCATTAAACGGTAAAATGCAGCGTAAAGAGCATCTCAAAAAGATATCATGACATTTCACGGAGGTCCAGATTCTGATCATCCTATTCTCAACGCTGGCATGGGTACTGATTTCAACCAACATCAAAGAATAGCAGAGGAAAAATGTATGCATCAAAACACAATGAGTTTGAGTGGTATTACGTTTTGAAAAGTAACTGATCAGAAACAAGCATTGAATAACAAGTGTAATTGCATCAGATAATCCATCGCTGAATGCTACAGAACGAAGGTGATCAAGAACTAGCGGAGAATGATATGACCCTAACCATCACCTAAACAAAAACACGGAGGAAAGTAGTAGAATGAATGAAGACTGAAAGGATGCTTACAGAAGATGTTTTCATATATCACAAGAGGAGAACAGCAAGATACATGTGTAGACTCGCCGACACATTCAGAAAGTTCAAAACCCAACACCGTCAAAGCAGAACATCGAAACTATGAAAACTGCGCTCTCATGTCTCATCGAAAAGAGACGGAAAGTAATGCCTCGGATAATGTCAACGATAAGGACAGAAATGGTCTGGTGACTCAACGATTTTTTAAATATTCAATACTGCATTGCATATCGCAACCGAAAGTAGCATTGTAAAATGCAAATAGATGCTAGCTGTAATCACTGGTTTTTACCCATGACAGAAAGAGATGGGCTTCAAACATTTACCATGAAAACGCACCTCTTGCCGATGCCGTTCGATTCGCACAGAGTCATTAGTTATGGTCGCACGGAGTATCATCTTGCTTCATTATATACAATGAAAACTTGTTCTCATATCATCAACTACTTCAGTATTTCAGATCGCAAATGCGTGCTATCGGGAAGCCATAACAGCCTTCCAGCTATCCGAAATTTTGCGTCGAAGGAGGGCATTCTTGAAATCCGTCATACTATTAAGTAGCACGAAGTGTATTGGCAATGAGACGTCTTCCATCTGTGATGAGAGTGACATTCAGGGAGATGAAGTCTTAGCGCAAATACACTTTGCAAACGATGAGTGAAGTGAACCGACTGGAGACTCGCTAACAGTTGTCTGACAAGCAATTTGACACGACTCCACGTATGCATTCACAAATGCATCATCTTCGCCAAATGTTATCAGCATCGAAACTAGAAGCTTACCACCTAAAGTGCTTCGTCGCTTCAAACTCATTCAAGTCCTTCGCAGAACAGGACCTCGACCTGAATGGAAATGTTTCCAGGCTTCGGTGACTGAACGAACGGAAACGCATCGCAGCGAGTTCTGCACTAAAGGAAATAAGGTTCAAAATTTACAGCCTCCTTCATCCGTAACTTCGAACGTTAAGCTTTGGAAAGAGAAATGTAAACATAACATCTGTTGCCACCAGAGTGAATGCGAATGCATAAATGAGCAGAACTGACAGTGGTTCGAACTATTGCAAGGTCGTAAAGCACGCTAAGATGGTCCGGAATCGAAGCACCGCTTGTTTTCGGAATCGTAAAACTGCTGATTTCGCAGACAATGTATCATCATTTCGAATCACTAAGACTGGCAACTCCTTGCCAGAATGTGAGAGACTGTGTTAAGTTGACTGCCGCCTGAGACAACCGAAGATTATCTCGCCTGCGGCGCTGCTAACTGGTGGGAAAAAACGGGCCGTCATATGACATGTTGTCCATCGCGCGTTGTTTATTCGCGGAAAGTTTGGTGAAGTTTGTCAAACTGTCGGAAGGCGTTAAATGAACGCCTTGATTTCCAAGCCAGAGACATATCGGCCGACTGTTCATGTCAAATTCTTGCCTTTCTGCGTGTTCAAGTTGTACCCCCGTGTTTTCCCCGCTCCCCGAGGTGCCTTCTGCTGCTAAGGAGTCATTCATCGATGACCACCGTTTTCTCACCGCCGTTGAGACACCAAGTGCCGTAGCCAAGCTGCGAATAGCCACGTCATAACAAGAGTCGACGTTACGCCGTTTAAACGCGCACACGTGCCTCGACCTCGACTTCGGCCGCAAACTTTGGTGCGTATAATTCTTGCTCAAGCTTTCCGGTATACCGATAAGTTAGCGCTTTTTACCAATCTGATTAAGAATGACTTTATGCGTTTCGGCATAAATGGAAGCTTGATAAGAGCTGTTTATTAAGTTTGATGCCAGTGTGCTTTCGGCCATATCGCTACGACGATTCATGGAAATACTGTACGAAGATAAGTACTGCAAGTTAGTGAAAGGAATGATAGAGGTGAAGTGTTACTATTTCCCGACGTTTCAGTCCAAGTGGATAAAGCTTTGTTCGGTGAAACGTATCTTTTACGAGCGTCAAAAGTTCCGGCCGTTCGTCATCAAGGGATGGGGCATGTCTTTGTCGCCCATATGGTGGGCTAAGGATTTGACTCGCGGCTTCAAGCAGGACAAGTACAACTTTGTTCTACAATTGGAAAATACGCTGCTGGACGTCGGGTTTACGGTGGTCGACGGACCAAGGTTGATTAAAGCCATTCTACCGATGCTGATGCGAAACACTCCGATTTTTGACTCCATACTTTACTAACAATACTAGTTTGCACAATGCTTTTATAATTTTGGCAATGCCATTTGTTCGAAATAAATGACTAGATTTCAGATCGTCGATTGGTGTTTCCCTGTCTCTACACGAAGAAACAGTGCGATAAGGACTGACGCAAACCTACTATATGTTAGCAGTGCACATATGTACATGCGATGTGTGCTTAGAGTTAAACGATGTTGCGGTTTATGTTTGTGATTTCCGTCTTATGCCAG